GGTCCGGGCCAGCGCCATCGCGCAGGACGCCGACCAGAACTACGACTACGCGAGCAACAGCGTGGTGCTGCACCTCGAGCCCGGCGACGAGGTGTACGTGAAGCTGGACGGCGGCAAGGCGCACGGAGGCAACAACAACAAGTACAGCACGTTCTCGGGCTTCCTTCTGTACCCGGACTAGGGCGCCGGGGCGAGGCCAGGTGGCTGCAGGTCGCCCTGTGCGCGCAGGGCCGCGCTGCCCCCGGCAAGGACCGCTTTCGCTTCATGACACTTCTTGACATCTCTGGAAAAGACACGTTCCTGCCGCCCTCCCCGCCCCACCCCGTCCTCGGTGTGTCTGCGACTCACTACGCCGCGGGCAGTGCTCCTGGTCCCTGTCCCCTGTCTGGGGAGGGAGACGGCGAGGCCAGGGTGGGGAGATGAGTGTGGACCTGAACCCAAGAGGCAGTGGGCTGTGGCGGCAGCGGCCAGGGCCAGGGCAGCAGCAATGTGCAAGCCTGATTGGACTGGACAGGCTGGGCGGACAACTGCCCTCTTTCAGTCCCCCTCCTCCAGTCCCCCTCCTTCTCCCAGTGCCCAAGACCAAGGCCTTCCAACCCTGGCGGGTGAGGTCGGCCAAAGTGCGCATGAGCTCCCTGGGGCGGCCTTTGAGACGCGAAATACTTGTGCAAATTTCCCCGCCCGTCAGTCAAAACCCCACTCGCCTCAGAATCCCAGCAAAGGGAAATTCGCCTCTCCACCAGACTCCCCGACTCAGACCCACTGCGATGCATTAAATTATGTTTCTAGACTATGGGCTCTGATGTTTTTTGTCAGGGTCGCCCCCAGGCCAGACCTCTAGATGTCCGCTTTGACATAAAGACCTTCCCTGGGCCCCCAATAGCCCCGTCTATACCTGCTTGTCAGCCACTGCCCTGTCCCTGCCGCTTGAGGTGGGTGAAAAGATGGGAGATAGGCTAGCAGCATCCCGCCCTTTGGGTGGGGGTGGTATTTCTCCCCCCCGGGCTGCAGCCCTGACCTGGAGAGGCCTAGAGGAGGTGGGGGAGGGAGAATGAGAGGCAGATGGGAGATGAGTGGCTGAAGCTCCAGGTTCCCAGCCTTGTGTGAAAGGGCGGGAGTTTCTGGAGAAGGAAGGGGTAGAGGAGGAAAATGGGAGGCAGGAACGAGGCACTTGCCAGCAGATGATCTCTGGGATGTTTGTCCAGAAAAGGAAGTGCAGAAGTCCCCAGCAGGAACACACCCACCCAGGCACAAAGTATACTCAGCACTTGCCCATTTGCTGGCCCCACCAGCTAGGGTCACAGCTCTGAAAAGAGCTGGTAAACTAAGGCGACCTGGGGATCATCCAGCCCCCTGACTTCACCCAGAACTGCGTGGGAAGAGATAGACACTATCCCTTGGGAAGGGACACCCTTTTCTGGGGCCTTCCCTTCTCATTGCACGGTGTTGAGGGACCTGTTCTGAGCCCGCGTGTTTGGTCTCTCTCTGTATTTACCATCAGCATTCCACACACATGAAGTAGGGGAACATCCAACATGGTTTTGATTTTCTTTTTTACCTGTTTGTTTTGTTTTTGAGCCATTGAATTCCAATAAATAGGAAATTATCTACAAAATAGCCAGTTAACAACCTATTAGTACTTTCTGAGTTCATTTTGACCAGCTGTTTGAAGAGAAATGTGTGCACACAGAGGCAATCCCAGAGTGTGTGTATCTGGGTAAAGCTGGAGGCACACACCCACCATGTGGATATAATGTTGTGGTTGTCATCACTAATCCATGTTACACACGTGCACACACTTGTATTCATAGGTCAGTGTGGGTGACAATGTTCATGGCTGTATGTCTGTCCCCAGATCACATTGGAGGATGCTGAAGGCTGTGGCTCCCACTGAAAACACAATTATACCCCCTGCTTCAAGTCCTGTTGCTGTTGCTGTTCCTCTTTATGCTCTTATTTTATTTGAATAATGTTTTATTGTCATTCACTTGAGTGTTACAATGATTGCATCTGGTTTGAGTCTAGGGGAAAAGTGCTCAGAGACAGGCAGGCAGAAAACAAATATATATACATATATACACAAACCACCATTCCCCAAGTTCACGGCCAAAACTGAACCCCAATTCCTCACCCCCCGCCCCCTGCTAACTGTGGGGCCCAAGCCCAGCTGAGCCCAGGAACAAGGAAGGGCAGAGTCGGGCCCCATCTACAGTTGCATACGTATCAATTTCTGATGCCTTGTCAATTGTATCATCCAGAAATGCGATTAAAGCCAAATGTCTGAGACCCAAACGAAGTCTAATTGCTATGGATCTGCCATCCCCAGCGGGGCCCTAATTCTTTTTGACTTATCCCTCCCCTTCCTCCGATGAGATGGAGCTTAGACACAAAGCCCTCGGTTTAAATTTCAAAAATTAAAATTGACATGCAGCGGTGGCTTTCCCGAGAGCGGGAGGAATTTCTAAGGAGGTGCCAGCACCCAGCTTTATTCTCTGCATTAAGAAGCAATTTGTACTTCTAACAAAACCCCTACCACTCCCCTTTGGCGGAAGGGCAGTAGGAACGCCTTGCCCAGGCCTGGCTGTTCATAATACTTAGACAAATTTGAATCTGAGATTCCTCCATCTGTATGCCCCTGCGCAGCCGGCTTCTTGCAATTCTAATGCCCAGGCTGCCGGGAGGTGCTGACAGAGGTGTCAGCTGCTAAGAGGATGCTAGATTGATGAGGCGGCCGGCGGAGGCAGGCCCCGCGCGGGAGCAGCCTCTCTGTCTGCACACTCTGCATGTCCCAGGCAGGCCCTCGCGGCCCCGTGAGGTCCACGATCCCATGATCTTCCTGGAGGACTCCCTGAGAAGGGGGCAGGGAAGGAGGGCGAAGCTAGGCCCCCTAGCCCTGCCACCTTTGTTTGCCATCAGCTTTGGAGTGCATCTGGAATGCAAGAAACCCTTTACACGAGCACTTACCATTCTTGCCTCTAGTAGAGTAGGGAGTTATTATCAACCGTATTTGTAAAGGACTGTTTAAATTTCCCAATTGCTTTCAGGTCTGTTTTTTAACTGTGTTCTTAGGTTGAGATTACCATGCTAGCATTCTGCAGGAAATAGGAAAGGTATTATTCTGTCTATGTGGGAGGTGGGGAAATTAGGGCTCAGAGAGGCCCAGTGACTGGCCCGTGTTCACAAAGCTTATAGGAGACTGAGCTGGGACTTGAACTCAGACCTCCAGGCTAGGCCCCTGCCTGACTCCACAGATGGGGCACATCCACCTCACAGAGTTCCCAATCCTTGGAGAGGAGAGCAGATGATTGGGGCACACTTCCCACCCCTCCTCTCTGTAGGGAGTCTCAGCACCCTCTGCGGGGCAGGAGGAGATGAGCCAGCCCTGATTCTTTGGCCCAGAGCCCTCCCAGAGACCACCCAGTCCTGAGGAATTTGGCTGAATATCCTGGCCTTGGAGTCAGAGTTGATGGCCTAACAGGACCCTTAGGTCGCAAACTCTAAATGCTTCCTTTGGCCCTGTCTGACTCCACCAGCACTCCCCACTCCTTAGGGCTCACTGACCGCCTTCTATAGCAGCTCTCCCTTCCCCCTCTTGGGCTGGGAAGGGGACATCTTGCAGGTGCAGAGGGTTTAGCTGAAGTGAGCATGGTTGTCCCTGATTGGCAAGAGGGCTTTCTCTTCATTCCCAGGATCTGCTTCTATGTGACAAATTATTTTCAGGAGGCCCTGGGTGCAGAAAATAAACACCTGGCCCCAGAACTTGGGATGAAAGTTATGCTTTCAGCCACGTTTCCTTCTTATCTGTGTGAGCAGATGGCTCTCCTGGGCACCCAAGACAAGCCATCCAGGTCTCCTTCTGCATTAGCCAGGATGTCACCTTGGAGGGACCACAGTGTATTGTGGGGACCGGTTGCTCCAAAGTTCACTGATTCCATTGGACAAACACTTTTAAGCACACATGCCCAATATATGTCTTTGACTGATGAATAACTTATGTCTCCTGCCAATCCATAGCTGAAAAATTCTATCTTTTTTGTACTTATGTTCATCAGAGGATCTGCACATTCAAGTCAGTATCTATATTCCAGCTGACCAACCATGTTTGGGGACAGGGCTCCCCTCATGGGAATAAAAAGAAATGAGAGTTAATCCATGTTTACGCTCAACTTGCCATTTTCCCCAAATCTTAGGCAGGAAAACATGCTCTCTCGTGAGTCACAGGGAAGGCTGTGCACTTCAACCCTCGGAGTGTGCAGTTTCAATCCATATTTTGCGTATTAGTAATGCTTGGCTTTCTCTCTTTTTTAGATTAAAAAGAAACAAAATTAAACTTTCAGTATTTCCTTCTCGTGCCTGGCTTTGAGGCTCTGATGTTGGCATTGGCACTCTCAGAGGATCATGCCAGGCTGGGTGCAGGATGGGCCCCTCCGACTGTGAGGAGGGTGAACTCAGCAGGGGGAAGTGCGGAATTTGGAGGAATGGCCTGATCTCCTACTCCTGTTGCATTCTGATGACTGAGAGCATGTCCCAAGGAGCGTGCATCACAGCAGCAACTGCAGAAAATTATAAGAGCAGGAGTTCTAATAAATAAGGTTTATGATAATAGTTTCAGAAATACTCAGAAGTAAATAGAAAAGGGTAGTGAGCCCCACATGCCTGCCACTCGGTGCTGGCACTGACTGCATCAGCACCCATCAGGCAGAACTGCAGCTTGTATTTAAGGCCTTATGATGGGCCAGGGATTGGCATGAAGGCATGATTGCTTCCTCATGACACCCTTAAGAAGTAAGTACTGCTATGAATCCCACTTTACAGATGAGGAAACTGAGGCTCAGAGAGGTGAGGTGAGATCTTGGAGAAACGACAGTAAGGGCCCATTGACACTACCAGCTTCCCCGGCAAGCACTCTGCAGGTGCAGCCAGTGCCAGACTTTTTGTAGAGGCCTCTGAAGTGTCTGCTCTCTCCTAATACTGTAATCAGGTCCCTTCTCTCCAGGACTTCTCACTCTCCCCCCCTCACTGCTCCACACACCAATCATGCTGGTCCTATGTCACTTCTAGTAGCCCCCCAGTCCTCACACAGGTGCCCATGGGTTTCTTCTTCTCCCCTTCCCCGAAGGTGCATAGAACACTGATCCTCCCTCCCATGGGGCCTGTCTCACTGTGATCACAAGTCTGGTT